TTAGGAAAAATAAACATTGTCCTTTCTTCGTTGCCAACAACAACTACCACCAAATAATCCGGAAACAAACTGTCAGGCCCCAGGAGGTAGTGCTTGATGGTGCCACGGAGTATGGGAAGTGAGCGGAGAGGAACCTCCAACTGTGTATGCATGGCCAGGCACTGTGGCACCTCCCGTTTGGCTTCATTTGGCCAAAGATTGGCCTCAGCCTTTGCGTTCCCCCTGGCTCTGTCTGCAGCAGGACCGAGCTGCAGCCCAGCATGAAGGACCTAGTCCTGTACCAGAAGTATTTTATATAAGCAAAGAATTGTTAGTTAGAGGGGTTGGGAGACTCTGCCTTGTTCTGGGGAAGGTAGGATCACTAAATCTTGTGGCTTTGCCTAGCCATTGTTTCCACCGAGTTTCCATTGTTTCCACTAAGAGCGCGTCAACCAGGAGCACAGTTAGCTCAGGGTCGGTCTGACGAGACCACAAACATGATCTGTTTCTGCTATGAAATTTTGGCTGCAGCATTAGCACCTTCTGAGGCCAGTCTGCTTCTGGGACACAACCTGACTAGAGTGGAGCTGGCTCCAGTTTTGCCACTAACCATCAGCTGCAGCTGCACTTTCAAATCCGACCCCTGGAAATCATGCAGGCTGGCCATGGTACTCTGTGAATCAGGACAACAATGCTGATCTCAGGCAGGAACATTGCTGCAGCCTGTTAAGGGGGTGCAGAGCCCCTTGGGGGCACAGCCACCCAACAGTGGATAGAAATGGGGTGAGAGAACTGTCATACATGAGAATTGTAGGAGAAAACATCTCTGCTCTCCTTCCCCATGCGCTGAACTGGGGGCAGGATTGCTCCAAGATGCAGGCTTATAGCTGGGAGGAGGATCACGCTACTAGCCAAAGAGGCAGCAACCACCAGAGCCTCACCAAACACTCTGAGTAACAGAAGGAGGAAGCAGGGAGAAACGGAAAAGCAGCAGCAGAAGGGACAGGGAGGTGGGGAGAAAATCCATGAGCTCATCTCCTAGCAGAAGAGGAAACAGCCCCCAATGACAGGGCAGGTATCCAAGACTGATGGGATTTGTGTTGTAACTTGTCCAGTCACTCCCATCTGACGGGGAGGGGGCTCTCCTTTCATGTCCATGCTGAGGAGCAAGCAGGAGCCCAGGTAATTAGATACATGACTGACAAGACAAGTTTAAGTTCAGGGCAGGCAGCAGAGGATGGACCCAGGCAATACCAGGCACTGGTCTCACTCTTGGGGTTCTTTATACACAGTGTTGCTGATACTCCACTGTAGCTGTGCTGCTCCAGCTGCTTCTCCTCCTGGGAGGCTCTGGAGGGCGAGTGCTGCCCAACGCAATGAGGTTAAAGATGTTCTTGGCTCCTCGGGATGGCTGGGACGCTTCCTGGGAAGCTTGGCTGGTGTTCATCTGGCCCCAGCAGACCCAGAGGTGATGGCTGTTGTATCGCAGCACTTGAGGGCTGATAAAGCTGTGAGGAACCAGGTGGGCAGTCCATACCTCTGCTGTGGTTTCTGTCCTTTCCCTCCTGTTCCCTCTCAGCCTTTTGGTCACAAGGCTTCTAGGAAGAGGCACTTTCTTTGCAATGGACCAGACTTCAGCACAGCCCTCTTTGTATATAGCTTTGCTCCTCTGCTGTCCTTGACCATTGGTTTCAGGCCTGGCACCCGTCTGTGCTCATGTTGTGCAGACATTTTGCTGCTCAGTCTCTATTGCAAAGCCCTGGCCTCTTCCCTTGGCTAAAAGCTGTCTGTTCCAATGCACAGCGGCCACCCCAGCTGAGGGTTATAGTGTGATGGGCCTTGCAAGTGGCTGCACACAGCCTTAGCCAGAGGCTCAGATCCATCTCTGCACTCAGGTGGTCTGGACGCCTGCTTCAGGTTGTAGGGACTTTCCTTTGCATTTGGTCTTCGGTAATCCTTTCCCCTCCAGTGGTGGGATGGGAGGAGTGGGGATGCTTTGGCAGTTACCTAGCAGCCAGTGCCCTCATCCTCTCTGCACAGCTTTGCACTAGCTTCAGCAGCAGCACAGCCCTAAGCAAACCCCTAAGGTTACACTTGGGGCATTATACCACAGCTTAGGAGAGTAAAGCAGGATCTCTACAGGAGAAGGTGGCTTCAGCGCTGGGTGGGAAAGATGCAACCTTAAGCGAGAGGATGCATTATCTAAGCCTTGGGAAGTGCCTTGAGCGAGGTGTGTCCAGCCAAGGAGACCAAAATCTCCAGCCTGACGTGTCTCCTGAGCATTGTTTGGTAAGTGGTTTCTGCCCATCACATTTCCCCTTGCTGGCTGCGCCTGCAGTGGCATTTTCCAGCCCTTTCCTGCCGTGGTGCTAATGTTGGTGCAGTGATGACAGGGAGAGACTCACTGTTTGTTTAGGGGCACAGCGAGCACACGGGGCAGCAGGGCAGGTCTCGCCTCCTGCCTCCACTCAGAGCTGTTCACAGGGCCAGGCTGTGTCCCCTCCCAGGGCTGGGTCACTGCAGAGGACAGGCAGGCAGGAGCAGGGAGGGTTCTGCCTTAGGCAAGGTGAGGTTTCGATGGCTGGAAGCTAGGATTTGTGGCAGTGGTTTTGAGCTAACCAAAGAGGAGAGAGAAAACCTACCTCTGGTCTGCCTCCTCTGAACATGGGATCCCTCGGAGGAAGAAGTGAGCAGGCAGTTCCTCCTCTCTGCTCCTGCTCTGATGAGAGTGATAATCTTCAGTTTATGTCAGTGCCCCCAGCCAGGAAGAAAATGACCAGCCTTCCTGGGACACTGGGTGGATGTGCTTAGCATAGCCAAGCAAAAAAAAAACAGGAGTAAGCCCATCTGTGTCAGCCTCAGCCTTCTCACTTACCTGGGCAATTCCTGAGGGCTTCCCAGTGCTCCCAGCTCTACAGTGACGGTGCTCCCCAGGGTCCATCTCCACTCTCCCCATGTGCCTTGGAGCTGTCCTGCAGCTCCTCATCCTGGGGAACCAGACACATTCATCACCCCATGTCCTTGGGCAGCAGGACCTGTCTCTGGTGGCAGTGGGTGCTCTTGCATGCACTCAGGAGCAAGGAGCCGAGTGGCTCTCCAGGCTGGGCTTTGGTGACACAGCTGCCATTATGTGCTTGGCAGAGGATCTCATCGGGGCTGGAAGTAAGATGTTGGCCAGGATACGAAACTTATCAGCTCCTTCTGCCAGCTGTCCTTTGCAGGCACTAGCTGCCAGCCCAGGCAGGGTGCCAGGCAGCTTTTAGAGAGCTCCCCTTAGAGAGACAGGTAGCTCCAACCTGGCAGGGCTCCAGCGTTCGGCAGGAGCAGACCCGTGCAGACTCCCCTGGGACAGGCCAGCCTGTACACCCTCCTTCCACTAAAGCACTGGATGGATTCCCAGTGCCACGCTGGTGGATTGGGTAGGCTTTGCTGTTCAGGATGTAAAATGTCTTTCTCTGTTTGCCTGTGTTGATGGTGCAGTTCCTGTGGTGTGTGAAAGTGCGTGGGACACCAGGATTGGGTTGATGGCTTCTAAGGCAAAGGCTGTCAGGTGCCAAGCCACCAACGGTGTCTCGCTGGCTGGGGCGTACAAGCCAGCAAACTGGAGCGGTGACAGACACATGAAGAGCTGGACACCTAAACAGCACCTTGTGTGACCTCCCAGGCTCCTGTGTCCATCTGTGCATCGCTCACAGGCACAGGGCCATTACAGAGTTTGGAGCTCGGTAGTGGAATTAATGCCAAGGGCTTCACGCTTCATTCCAGCCCACATGAATGGGCTCATTGTAGGGAACAGAGCGGCGGCAGCACGCGGATCACACGGCATCATGGCAGCCCTGGCATCATGCCCGCCTGACCTTCGTGTCCCTGGCAGGGCAGCCAGGAGAGCTGGCCTGGAAGAAGGCAGCTCTTTGCAGGGGAAGGAAGGGGACCTCCAGGTCTTCACTCTGGAGCCCTGTGGGACAGAGCCTGCCTGTCTGAGTAGAGATGCATCACTGCTGCATCTCAGCTCCTCCTGCTGCTCAAACACCTTTAAATTTTCCTGCATGCAATCAGGCAAAACGTTCTGTGTTTGGACCTCTGGCTTGCACAGCACGGGTGATGCAGGGACCGAGTGCCTCTCACCCCACATGCCTCACAGTAGGCTGGGGATTACGCTTGGGTCATGTTTCATGGTGGCCCCATAGTCCTGCTGTCAGGTGGGAAACCAGTGGAAGTCAGCTAATTAGCACTAATTAATGTTGCCAAGAGGAACCATGCTATTCCAACTAAGTGTGGAAAAGCCCAGGTGATCTCATCCCCAGAGTCACAGGCACAGTGAGGCAAGGGGGTATGGTCCTGTCCATCCCTCTGCAGAATCAGTGACCTCAGGCAGTGACAGGTGCTGCAGGGACAGTCACTGCTGCTCTCTGCCTCATGGGCTGGGCTCTAAGTCATCCCCCAGATCCTTGTGTCCTCCTCTCGAGCTTGCACTATCCCCTAGCCATGCTGAGAGCCTGTTCACCAAGCCAGGACAGCAAGGGGACACCATGGTAGAAACAATGGGGAGCACAACTGTGTGTCAGGGACTAAAGGCTTCCTCCCATGAAGATCACCTCTACCCGGGGCCAGGAAGGAATAAAGGATGCAGGGCAAAGGAGGAGAATTTACTCCCTAGTGATTTGTTTTGTTCTTGAAGGGTCTGGTTCTCATCCACAGTTTGCAAAAGTGTTTCCTGCCGGCCAGCTGCCAAGGAAAAATGGAACAAAAATAGCCCAGCGCTTAGGAGGTGCCATGGCATGACACGGTGCCTCCCAGGTGTGCCCCGGCCTGGCAGCAGCAGAGTCCAGGGAATGGAGGATGTTTGTGGGGAGTGGTTTGTGCTCTAGCAGCTGGGGAACAGCCCCAGGCAGAGATGGAACTCACCGCTGAAGTGCTGCTGTGGGCAGATGTTCACCACTCTGCAGCAGGATCTCTCTTCCCAGACCCTGAAGTCATGGCTTTGCTTTTCCCTTTTAGGACATGTCTCGAAAGCATCACACCTGGAAGGAGCAGAGTCCTTGGCTGTCTTCCTTGGTGAATGCTGTGGGGACTGGCATGCCTGCCAAGGGCTTCCCCATGGGCGCGGATGAGCAGGCAACACGCTGGAACCCACCCCGGTGCGGTGTGCCGGACCTCCCGGCGTCGCCAGACGGCCAGAACGGGCGGAACCGGCAGAAGCGGTTTGTCCTCTCCGGTGGACGCTGGGACAAGACTGATCTCACCTACAAGTAAGAGAGGCCCGAAATGGGAGTCAGACTGCTTTGCTTCTCCCTCCCCAGACCTTTCAGTCTGATGTTCCCTGGAGCGCGGCATGCTGTGACGTGATCACAGAAGCTAGAGGCCAGCCCTGGGTAGGGGCAGCTGGGGACAGGGGAGCCACATGCTGAACCACCCGCAGGGTCATACCCAGCACCTCCACATCCCCTCACGCACACGCTGCCATGAACATAGCTGCCCTGCCCAAACACATTCTGCCCAGCTGTTGTGTCGCCCCTCAGTCAGTCCCGCATCAACACCCCCATGTGCACACATCCACTTCCTTACATCAAACCCCTGACACATGCCAAGCCGAGCCTCTACCACCAGCCCTCCCCTGCTATGCCTTTGCTCCTCCCCAGCCACCCTGCTGCAGGCTCACTTCACAGTTTATTTTGAAAAGACCTTTTTACTCAGCTGTTATTGATGTTCCCATAAACATGACTTCAGTGTGAAGTTTTGCCCAAGTCACCCCACACATTCTCAATTGCAACTCTGCTCAGCAGGGTTGCGGGAGGGTTGTGCTGCCTCCCCAGCTGCCCACAGGGGCACGAGTGGAGAGGTGAGCACACTCATATAGATTTAGACAGCACGTAAATCATCTTTTGTTTAGTTAAGTGCAGGAGACAGTTCCTTACAGCATTAGGAGGTGATAGACGACAGAAAGGCTTCTTTTTTTTTTTTTTGTTAAAAAGAAACACAGCACAGACAAACACACACCAACACTGTTAACGGAAGGGAAAGAAAGCTCACTCTGTGGCAGACCTTACAGTCTGCTTATGTTATAGGAGAGCCGAAGAGGCAGCAGCAGCTATGAGCGAGCCCAGCTTTCCAGGAGCAAAAAATACAGAGATCGAGGTGGAGAAATCACATCACACCACTCCCAGGCACCGCTGTGGGGTTGGACTCACGGGGGACAGACCTAGGAAATGCCACATCACTTCACTGCAGAAAAACACAGATCTGCAAAGCTCTCTGGAGAGCTTACCTCTGTCTGGGCCCATCAGCCAGAGGGTTTCAACACTGATGGCTTTTACCTCCTGCCCACGCCTTTGGAAGAAGGTGCCAGGGCCGTGCTTGTAGGAATTGGAGATGTTCTGGTGTTGAGAGAGAGCCGCAGTCCTAGTGACGTTAATCCTATAGCCAGTGTCTTCATGACAGCAGTGTCGATGAGACAGCGGCTGATGCTCTCCTCACCCAGTGTCTGTTGCTTTTCAGAATTATCAGGTTCCCGTGGCAACTTGTAAAAGATAAAGTGAGAAGGACCATCGAGGAAGCTTTGAAAGTCTGGAGCGACGTGACCCCGCTGACCTTCACTGAGGTGCAGGAGGGCCGGGCTGACATTGTCATCGATTTCACAAGGTGAGCAGGGTGGGCAGCAGCACCCTCCTCCCAGACAGAGCAGCAGCCTTGCAGGCAAGACCCTAAGCCTCTAACCAGAGCAGAGAGCTACAAATATACAACTCAGGCAGTTAAGTGGAGGCTCATATGTCTGCTTTCAGACACTGGGATTTTTTTTTTTTTTGTCAGTTGTGGGCTGCTTGGTGTAAGTGCAGCTGTTCCATGCTGGCTGTGCACAGTTCCGTTACTGATTGTTCATTAATTTCCCTGGTAGGTTTACATTTCTCTGCCCACAGGCTGTTTTCCTAAGCGTTTGTTTTGACTTTCCATCTTCAGGTCCTCCATTCTGTCCCTTGACTGAACGATGTAACTGTCTGCCCAAAGACAAATATACTTTCTGCGTTAAATGAATCTTGGCTCCTGGCCTGAAATTCACTTTTGGCAAAATACGCACAGGGGCAAAGACTTCCCTCTGTTGCATGTTTGCACAAAACTAAGAAAGGCAGTGGAAACCATCCAAGCAGTGATGCGATGTACATGCTGTGTATTTGCCTGTGCCTCCCTCAGCTTTCTAAAGTGGCCACATCTCTCATGGGTTTCCTTCACTAGTCAACAGGGGGCTTGGCTTGAGTGAGAACCTGAGGGTTTGGCTGGGTGTGCTGCTGGCTGCCCTGCTGCATCCCCCCGCCACTCAGCTATATCATCTTAATCTTGGCTCGAGCAGTCACTGCCTTAATACTTTAGGCTCCATGGTCAGCTTTGGGCTGGAAGCTGAAGAGGGGGAGGAGAGAAACATCCCTGAGAAAGCATATGAGCTCCCCAGGGCTTGGTGTGACCAAGCTCTACTTCCTCAGTGGCCCAGCGCAGAACTGAGTTTGTGGCAATCTGAAGGGCTCAAAACAGTTGATCTGGACTGGTGGGATGAACTTGGGATGGGAGAGCTGCTGTCCCCTTGTAGTGGCTCCCTGCCTTTGGCCTTATGTTGCTGTTCACTGGAGGTACATGGCCGTTTGTCTGATGTGCAATGTGTCTTCCCTCCAGGTACTGGCATGGAGATAACTTGCCTTTCGATGGGCCTGGAGGGATCCTCGCGCACGCGTTCTTCCCCAAGACACACCGGGAGGGAGATGTCCATTTTGACTATGATGAGACCTGGACAATTGGGAACAACCTGGGTATGGTACTGTTTCAGGGGGAGCTGTGGACGCTCCAGGGTGCTTTTCAGGGCACTTCGAAATGGTTTGATTGTGGTGTGCACAGGGACCCTGTAAAACTCGGAGGCAGCAATCATTTTCCATATGACGAGGTAATGGCGTTAAACTAAAAGAGGGTAGATTTAGATTAGATATAAGAAAGAAATTCTTTACTATGAGGGTGGTGAGGCACTGGTTGCTCAGAGAAGCTGTGGCTGCCCCCTCCCTGAAAGTGTTCAAGGCCAGGTTGGACGGGGCTTTGAGCAACCTGGTCTGGTGGAAGGTGTCCCTGCCCATGGCAGGGGGTTGGAACTACATGATCTTTAAGGTCCCTTCCAACCCAAACCATTCTATGATTCTACCATTCTGTGATTTTTATGGTGTGCATTGTTATCTCCTACCACTTTTCTCGTCACCCTTCAACCACAGCAAAGCCTGTGTCCAGCACCAGGAGCCTGGTTTCCCAGTGGGCTTCCCCCGTGTGGGGGGAGCAAGAGGGACACATCTGAGAGATGGCTCCTCTGCCCAGCCACGCGCCCTGCCACTTGGGAACTGCACCCAGCATTGGCAGAAGCCATTAGAAATAAAACAGGGAAGGGATGAAGGAAAACTGAGGCTCAGGCACCGGCGGACACAGCTGCCTTCGAAAGGACAGCCTCAGCCTCAGTTGCTGCATGCACTGTTCACCGCCTGCCCGCAAAGTATTTTCTCTTTGAACAACTCCATAAAGGGAAACCACCCAGGCTCCAGCTCTGCCCCTGTGGCCTGGGAATGCTCTGACCATAAACAACATCACATCGAGTCAAGACTCTTTTTTTTTTTTTTTTTTTTTTTTGGTCTTTTAAAAATAGATCCAATCGGGTAGCTCTCTGCTTGGGCAGTCAGGGTCTAGTGTCACAGTATCTCATGAGATACTGCAGTACCGCCTGGGACCATCTGGATCAGTGCCCAAAGCACCAGTTTCTACAAGACCCACCAAAATTAACCCAGGTCAACCCCTCCTCCTCCTTCCCAGTGTACCTACAGAGACAAAGACACAATCACAAAGTCCAAGTTAAACACCTGCCTCTCTGGGGCTTCACAAACTTTTTGTCCACATCGGTGTTCAGGGCTCAGATGGGGTCCCCCAAAGTCGACTTTATTGCCAGTTGTATGCCAGCTTGAGTCTCTGCGTGGGGCATAGGACTGCTATGTCTCTGACCCTGTTCATGCTGACCCAAAACAAGAACCACGGAGCACCAGATCTTTCTGCAGAAGCATTTCTGCTCCTTAGGGAAGGGTGAGCTCTGCCGTTTTTAACCCTCTGTTGGGCTGCCTGTATTGTTGAAGAATTTCCTACATTCTCCGACAAAGACAGTATTGGAGGAAAATGAGGAACTGAAAACGGATGCCAGTTCCCATTGGAATCCAGCCCTATTCCATGGCCTTGTTTTCCCGTCTACGTCTTCCATAAGTAAATGTCATAAAGGCTCTTGGCAGCCAATTGCCATTTAATATGCTGAAAAGAGCTTTATGATACAAACATGGATAAATCCTTGTCTCATCTCGTAGCGAGACGGGGAAATCCTTAGCCTCATTTTACAGACAGGAGAGCAGAAGTACGAGGAGGGCTAAGGTGTGCCCTGGGGTCACCCCAGAGCCATGGAGGAAGCAGGACTCCACGTGGAGCACCTTCTGCGAGGAACACAGTGATGCTCCCCAGCACAGCTCCTTCAAGAGGGCTGTTGTTCACCTCCCCTGGAGAATCTGACAACGGCACAACCGATCTGCCAACACTGGAAAGCATCAAGTGAGGAGCCTGCCAAACTAATCAGAAGTGTCTGAAAGTTTGTAATAAATCACTGACACAGAAATCCCACTTTCTCAGCTGACCTAGATGTGTTCATTTAATTGGGTCAGTGCCGTGCAAATTCATCATTTCTACCTAAAGCTGACCAGCGGAGGAAGACAAGGGCTCACCTTCCCCTCCGCCCTTCCCAGGCATTCCTCCTAGCTGTGTCCCCGCTGTTGCATCCCATCCTGGTGCTGAGAAGTGACCCATTCGCCTGGAGCCAGCAGGGAAATCCTGTTTGGAGCAGTGAGGCTGGCTGACTCACATCCCTGCCTTTCTCGTCACTTGGGCTGCAACTCAGAGGATTTCTGGCTGAAGGCGAGTGAATGAATACATTGGGACTTGTCAACAAGAAGACCAACTCACAAGCTTTGTGGCTTAATGTGCCTCTTCCAGCTTTCCCTGAAGTGTATGAACTTCAAAACAGATCCACTGGAAGCTAAACAACCCCTACCAAATCACACATTTTTGCATACTGAATTCCACCTTTCCACCTCTTCTTTTCTAGAAGCTCTAACGTCATGTATTCCTAAAACATGATCTCCTATAAATCTACTTGAGTCTGGTGAAGCAAGCCCAGGCCTTGACACTGCATATTTTTTAATGGATTTATTTCTAAATGTCACCTCTTTGCTACAGTCCACACACAAGCAATAAATGATCTCCCTCTGCTGTCTGTGTGACAAGGGTCATTAGCAAGTTTTAATCCTCACTGATGCAGGTACCTTCCACAGTGAACATGATCTAAATGGGACCTGATGCGCTACAGCTGTAGCCAACAACTGCTGCAAGGCTAGGTCAACAAAAAAGCAACCTTACCACCCCGACACCTACTTCTCTGGGCCAGACTGCTTTCTCTGTACAAATTTCTTCTATCCAAAATCACACAGAAAAACCCTTTTCTTTCTGATAAGTGATGGGGTACAGAAGCCCCTGGTGACAGAATTACAAATTACCAGCATGCCCAGGCATGGGCATTCATACAGCTGAGTGTATGAATTCACTCACAGTGCTCCAGGAAAACCCTGGGAACAACAAACTGCGAGTGCTGTAGTCGAGGCAGATTTCTCTTTCCTCGCGTTAGGCTCATACAACACGCCTCAGTGCATTGTCAGTGGCTGATAATTGCTAGAAGTGAGCCTATGAGGCAGGCATCCTCCACACAAGCAGGCAAAATCATCTCCCATCTTTTCCCTTCGCAGGCACTGACCTCCTGCAAGTGGCTGCTCATGAGTTTGGCCACGTCCTGGGCCTGCAGCACACAGCTGTCTCCAAGTCACTGATGTCTCCTTTCTACATCTTCCGCTACCCGCTAAGTCTGAGTGAGGATGACAAGCAGGGTATCCAATACCTCTACGGGAAACCCAAAATGGATCCTGACCCAACCCCAACTCAGCCAGCAGAGCTGCCCCAGCCGGACCTTGAAACAAATGAGATCACCAACATGGAGGTGAGTCAACAGCTTTGCGTCCTCCTCTAACACCACAGCTTGTTCCCAGCTGCAGGGACTGTCCTCACCGTGAGGCCAGCAGCAGGCTTACATGTGGTTTGGTGTCTGTGTCTTCCACCTATGCTGCTGAGTGCAGGTCGGGACCCTGCGGCTGGCACTGACAGCCAGCCTGGGATGTGCAGGGAGGGGATCTTTGGGCTGCAAGTGCCCATGAAAGCAGGACAGTTGCCTGGACACAGGGACTTCCCATCCATTTAACCCAGCCTGGGTGAGGGGACTTCCCGTGAGTCCAAGCACCTGACCGGCCATGCTTTGGCAGTCTGTGCAGCCCGACGCCTGTGACACAGCTTTCGACGCCGCCTCCACCATCCGAGGGGAGCTGTTCTTCTTCAAGTCGCGATATGTGCCGCCCCCCCGCCACTGGCAGGGGATCCCCAGCTCTGTCGATGCCACCTTCGAGGACCCTCTGGGCAATATCTGGTTTTTCCAAGGTAAGAGCTGGACTGAGATCAGACAGCTCAGAAAAGCATCTTCTTTACTGAGGGGTATTAGGACCCAGCAAGTTCCTGGCAGAAAAAACACTCTGGGCATCCTCAGCAATCCAGTGATCCTTGTTATTTGTTTCCTTCTCTGTTTAGTTTAAACTTTTTAGCAGATATTGAGGGGGAAAGAGAGAAGGAGGGGTCACTTTTAATTTAGACACATGCATGCTATCCCATTCTCCTTCTCTGGAACACAAACATTTGTTTTGAGCTTCTGCCCTGGCAATACTGTTGGCAGAGGAGCAGGAAGGAAACACTTGCTCTGTCTCCCCAGCTGTCATTGGAAGCACTGTGCCAGAAGAGAGCCCCAGACGCTTTCACAGGTTGTGAAACTCCTGAGCCTGTGCCCCTGAGGCCCTGCTCAGGGAATGGACAGACTCTTTTCTGCTCCTCAGAGACCTGGATGCAGAGATTCTGTAGTACCCCAGAATGAATGAGCCTACAGGGTGCCTGTGTGTGCAGAGCCAACCTCCTGCCACCACAGGGATTAAAAACCAATCGCCCATGGGGGACAAACCTCCTCCTGGCTGTCTCTGGAGTTCAAGACCAGCAACAACCACTGTTTTCCTTAATGTTCTTTACAAGTGTAAATTTAATAGCAGGGATGCAGAATGGCGTTGGTGCCCAGCTTCCCTGGGTGCGCACGCCCTGTCTGCGTAGCGTGAGACCGAGCACCAGAAAGCACACCACACGGCTCTGCAGGCAGTGTTCCTGCATAAACAGATTACTTAGTACCTGACCTGCACACAAGGACTTACAGTGCTAAAATTGGCAGGCTCCTGCCATGAGTTAGAATGAGATAAGGGGAAAGTATTACATGCCGTAGGCTAATTACAGAGATTCCCATTTTAATCTAATCTGGAAATATGCTTCCAGTCTCTATTTCAGGTTGGCAACTTCTTCCTGGTTTCTGTAGCTTACTCCTTCACAGCTGCACGCGCCCTTTATGCCTGTGCATGCCCACATACATTCTCCTCCACGCGCGGAGTTTGCAAGGTAGAGGCTGGTCCCTCCAGCCAAGCCTATCATTATAACTTCCACAAACAGAGAAAAGACAGCTGCTAAAATGGTCTCTTCGTCCCACCACTGACACCCTCCAGGTTGGACCAAGGCGGGAAGTCAACTCCTTGCACTGCCAGGACTTTGCGCACCCGTCAGTGACAGTGTCCCTGACACTGGTAGGGTTTTTGCCTCTCAGATACAGCTTTCCCTGGGAGCTCTGCCAAGGCACAAGCTCCAGTTGCGCAGTTCACTGCCAAATTTTCAGACACCAAAGAGCTTCTGAACCCTTGTCTGCCTTTTCTGTCTCCTCACCAGATTCTCAGTACTGGATTTACGATGGCGAGAGACGGGTATCTGGTCCCACCCCAATTGTGGAGCTGGGCCTCCCTGCATCCCCTGTGCAGGCAGCTCTTGTGTGGGGTGCTGAGAAGAACAAGATCTACATCTTCAGTGGAGGCAACTACTGGCGCTTCAACCCTCACACCCGCCAGGTGGACAACATCTACCCCCGGGCCATGGCTGACTGGCGTGGTGTCCCTCAGGAGATTGACGCGGCTTTTCAGGATGAGTTTGGTCAGCACAGCAGGGACATGGCTTGCTCTGGGGTGGCCGCTCAGGCTGATACTACTGCCCAGCTGGAAGAACTGGGCAGATTTAGACACTTGGCAGTAGTGGACATTTCCCAGCCATAGCACATGCTATATAGTGTATACAGAGGGGCAGGTCCCCCCCGGGGGGAGGGGAAGGGGGGCGGGGCAGCTCCCTCCAGTGGGTAGGGAACGGAGGCTGCTCCCATAAAAGTGAGAAGTTTTATCATTATTTATTTCACCAATCAACAGTTAAGTGTCTGACAGAGAGAATTCAAACTTCTGACGAAGAAATGGTCACAGAGTCCTACCGAGCTGTTAATGCTCCCAACAAAGTGATGAGAAGACAGCAGAAATGCTTCCCACGCTTCAGACAGCAGAAACACTGCCCACACTTCAGTCCAGGCAGCTGTCCTGAATGAACAGTCTGCTTTTGGTATTGCCTAGTCCTACCAGATGTGCCCCATGCTGAAGACAGCGTGGCAGTGCCACAGAAACACTGGGGACAGCCAGGGTGCTTGGAGTGCTGCTCCTGCCTCTCTCCCCAAAAAGAATGGGGTGAAATGGCTCCCCACTGTTTCCAGAGCCTAAATCCCAGAACAGCTTCCCCGCAGTAACAGATGCTCTACAGCAAGCTCCCTGTCATAGGCCCTGTTCAGGTCCTAAATGCCTTCTGCCATCTCAGGGCCAGGCCACTACCTGGGTAGAGCAAATTTAAACCCACCAGGAATATAAAATAAAATCCTGCTTATTCTCCCATCAAAACTGAAACAGTGTAAGCTGAAAACCTGGGTTTAAGTGAGTTAAAGCTACCAGCATCTCCTGCCTCTTCCAGGCTCTCTTTTTGTACTGCATGTGCTGCAGAGTGTTATGCTAGGAAAGAGCTGTGAGCTGTGCCAGGTCTCTCCTAACCCATCCTGTCTCACCCACAGGTTTTGCCTATTTCCTGAGAGGCCAAGATTACTGGAAGTTCGATCCAGTCCAGGTGAAAGTGCTGGAGGGCTACCCACGCCAGATCAGCCAGCACTTCTTCAGCTGTACACCTGCTTCAAATTCCTTCAGATGAGGGGCTGCTTGTGTCCTCCATGCTCCCCTTTCATCCCCCTTCCCTCCAGCAGCCACACAGAGGGTTCCCTCTGCCATTCCTGGCTTCCTTCCAGGCTCAGCATCTGACACAACACATGCCTGTCACAACAAGTGACAAAGTTTGCTCCTCTCAAGTTCCAGCAGCCCCAGCTTCAGTTGCTATCAATATAAAAGCACCTGCCATGTTCTTTGCAGGCCAGAGCAGCCACTAAACCCTTAGCTCTTCCAGCAGTAGCATCCCAAAAGCCATCAAGCCAGCCTGGAACAGGATCACGCTCTCCTAATTAACCTGGACCCCATCACGTAGAACTGCTCTGACAGCATTTCCTGTGTTTACATAGCTCACAGCAGCGGCCCTTTGCTGCTCCAGACGTTGGCCTGGGAGGAGGAGGGCTTCCACTGGGAGACCCTCAGCCTTGGTGGGGGGCTGTGGAGGACACTGACTGTCCGCGGAGCAGCGCGGATGTGTGGCTGCTGCCAGGGTCACTTTGCCAGGGCTGCAGCGGTGACCGCCGTGACCGTGCCACAGCCCCGCTCCTCCTGTCCTGTTGTATCACTAGGACGCCTTAGGAGTTTATACTGATCTGTGTGTAGACAAGGGGCCCCCTTCCCTCCGCGGTGCTGGGTGCCAGCGCTGGACGCTGCTCCGCTGCTCCCCGAGCTCCCACCGAGCCGGGCTCCCCGTGACTGCACCG